TTTTTGTGTCTGTGCTTTTGTTAATTTGGCTCTTTTGATGAAACGATGTAGCTGCTAGGGCTAAGGATCGGAAGGTTCATATCCTTAGTAAGTTGAGGATCCAATGTGAAGCCGATTGCTGCTAGGTGGGTCGTTCTCTGAGCTTAACTCGAGTTGATCTTTACTCACGTGGAATATAGTATAGAAAATTGTATCTCCCTGTTGATATAAATTCTGGTACTTCCCAATAAAGAGTAATAGGCAGGACTGCCGAATTAAAAAAATTAAAAAAAAATTTTTATTAAAAATAATTTTTTTTTACATAACTTATTTTTTTATTTAGTAAAAAGTTCAAAAATTAAAATTTGGCAACATATAAAATATATAAAATTTTGTGCTAAACAAAATTACTTAGAAGCCAAAATAGATTATCTTAGTAAAAAAAAAAAAGGTTTATATAGAAAAATATAAAATTTTGAAGTTTATCTATAACAAACTTTTTTTCTACTAAAACAACCTATTTTTGTCTTTAAAGTCAACTTGTTTAGCATAAAATTTTACATATAATTATATTTTCAAAATTAGTAAAAATTTTTTTCATAAAATTTTACTAGTAAAATTTTTAATTTTTATAGAATTTTAAAAAATTGTTTTAAGTAATCTTATTCTACTGTTAACTCCAAAATTTAAAAATAAGTTAATTTGCAAGTTAAAAAGAATCTTGAGCTTAAAGTTTATAGTAAATTTAACACTCATATATAAACAGGTGTAATATATTTTCTGACTGATAATTTTAAAATAGTATTCTCTACCCTTAAATCTAAATATATAACTCATAAAGCGAGTGAAATAGTAATAGCGCAAAAATTTGGCGATCCCGTGACTAATTAAAAAACAATAACGATAATATCTTTAACGTTAATTTTCGTCTAAAATTTAATGTTTGCATTAATACAAAGTAAAGTTTTTTGTGGTTTCTTGTTATGTTACACAATGATCTTGTAATCGGATTGGATAAGCTATTTCATCAATAAAAGGATCGGACTTCGTGTGAGCAAGTATTGGAGAATAGAGTTTGGTACAAACTCTAATTGAGAAAGATGATTTTGAACCAAAATTACCAATAGGTTTTAAATACGTACGTACGTACGCACGTACAAGGAATTGATCTTTGATTTTAGCCAATCAAAAATTTGCTGTATATCGATATAAATTTCAGATTTAACATAAATATATATGTTCGTACAGATTTTAAAGTGTTATAGTTTTTTTAATTATATATAAATCAAATAAAAATTTATTCTACAGAATTGTAGTTTGAGGGATTTTTGCTAGAATATTTTGTTCTTGAGTCATAACATTTTTTATATTTTATATATAAAATATTGGATATTTTTTGCTATCACGTACTGTACAATGAGCGAATCGGTGCCAACAAACCAGTCGAATATTAAAGACGAACGTCTTATCGACAAAGAGGAGCAAAAGGAAGTTGACTTGAAGGAATTTCCAGCCACTGCAAGCGGTGTCATAGACGCTTACCCAGGGTTAAACAGTCAAGACATCCAAAATGTTATCTTACTCATTATCCTTTGTATGGAGTTTGATTGCTAGCTATGCTACTTTCTAATTATTGTAATAGATATTCACGTCTTATTCTAATATATCAACTCGTAGATTTGCTCCAGGGAATTCCTGTTGGTTTAGCATTCGGTTCTATACCTTTCCTCCTTAAGTCCAAATTGTCATATTCACAAATAGGATTTTTTTCTCTAGCTACATATCCATATTCTCTTAAATTGTTATGGTCTCCAATTGTGGACGCTATATATTCAAAAAAAGTTGGTCGTAGAAAAAGTTGGATCATACCTATTCAATTATTAACTGGAAGCCTATTTTTTTGGCTTGGGAATAACATAGATCAAATGTTCGAGGTGTGTCATTGATTTATTCTAGAAATTATATTAATACTGTCTACATGAAGGCTTTAGTGGTACAAGTTTTATCAACAAATCACGCTATCTCAGTTTCATTAGTATGAAGCTTGCTGAGCATTGATTTCCGCTGGTTTTGATTACTTCTTCTATGTCAATATAGGAGAAGCCAGATGTATATACCTTGACTATGTTGTTTTTCATTTTAATATTTTTTTCTGCAACACAAGGTAGTAAAAGTACTACTAATAACTCATTAAATTTCATCATCTTGAAGATTCTAATTATATCTTTTCAATTTTAAACGATTCAAGATATCGCGGTTGATGGTAAATGTTTCATTATTTAGTAAAGACTTATATTTATGATATTCGTGATTTCACTATTCAATGATATCTATTTTTGTTTAATTAGGTTGGGCTTTGACTTTACTATCCAAAAATAGTTTGTCTTATGCTTCCTCTGCCCAAACTATTGGGTTGAATACCGGTTATTTTTTATCTTTTACTGTTTTTCTTGCGTTCAATTCAGTGGAATTCAGGTAACATTATATTTCATTACATAAATATATATTCTTAAGAACTTATGAAATAATATGTTAGTTTTTGTTTTTGTTCAGCAATAAATATTTTAGAAGTGAGCCGAGTGTTGAAAGTATTCTGACGCTTGGATCATACCTATCTTTTTGGTCTGTAGTTTATTTCGCAGTGACATTATGGTTAATATTTGTCAAAAAAGAGGTGAGTTTTGAAATATTCGCTTAATGGCTTTAATGTTATGATCATACATGTATATATATATATATAATATATATATTTACTCCAAATAAAGGATTCCTCGCATCCCGAAGATGAAATGAACATTGCAACTGTTTATAAAACGATATGGGACATCTGTAAAATGCCCCGTAAGAATTTTTTTTTTTACTCTCAAAGACGTTATCAACACAATTGGAGATTACTGAATGTGTTATTCCAATTATTATATTATTATATTATAGATTTGCGCAAATTTATTGCGACACTCTTAGTTGCAAAAATTGGTTTCATAGCAAATGAAGCTGTTACTGGACTTAAGCTGCTAGAGAAGGGGTTTAGCAAGGAAGATTTGGCTTTGGCTGTTTTAATAGATTTTCCCTTTCAAATTGTGTTTGGATACTATGCTGCTAAATGGAGTAATGGTAGTGAGCCTCTGAAGCCGGTACGTTTAGATTATAAATGATCATTGATTTATATATCCTTTCGATTATATGAATGATTTATAACCTATCTTTGTCATTAGTGGATATACGCTTTTTACGGACGACTCATCTTTGCTATTGTTGGCATGTTGGTCGTTCTTATGTTTCCTACTAATAATGAGATATCCGTTGGCTTTTTTTGCTTTGTTATTTTTAGTACCGTAATGAGTTCTTTTATGAGGTATTATTTTTTCTAATGTTAAAGTTGCCATCTCCAATTTAATTGTCATATATAGGTATATCCTATTATATATTTATAAACCATTACGCAGATAATAATCTTGGCTTTATTACGAATCAGCACGGTTCAATTTGTCAGCATTTCGGCATTCATGGCATTAATTGCCGATCCTATGATTGGTGGAACCTACATGACTGTAAGTATAAAACTATTTATAAAAGATAATTTCAAAAATCTTAATTCTAATTGTCTTTAAATTTGATAATATAGCTTTTGGCGACGTTCAGCAATCTGGGTGGTACATGGCCTCGCTTTTTTGTTTTGGAAGCAGTGGACTATTTCACTGAAGCTGTATGCTATAATAAATCGAACCCGGAAAATAGTAAGTTCAACCCTTTTTAAATTTAAAAGTATCCAGATCTTTAACTCATAAAATAACATTATTAGTCGTTAATTGCATTACTGATGAGGAAAAGGCTGATTGTAAATTAAGTGGTGGTACTTGCATTGTTAGTCAAGATGGATATTTTTTTGTTTCTAATGTGTGTGTTTGTGTTGGTTTCTTCTTGTTGGTCGTGTTCATTTTACCTCAGATCAAGCATTTGCAGTGTAAGTTTAAAAGATTTATTTGTTTTATGCTTTTGATCTAATCTATATTAATTTGTACCTTACATTTTTCTTTTATAGCATTGCCACCAAAAGCATGGAAGTTAAAAAAGTAATACTTTTAATTGATTTTTATTTTACACGTGCTAAAAATATTTGATGTTTAAAAAAAAACAAAAAAAAAGTACATAATATACTAAACTTCAATAAAATTTACATCAAAATTCTCAGTAGGAACAATTACGTTTTTGAATAAAAATAGAATATATCAGGTAGATTCAAACCTAGGGTTTAAAATTGTCTTGTACAAGATGCATATGTGCACGAGTTTTTTTTGATAAATTAAATATATATATGTGCGCTATAAAATTTTTTAAAAAAATTGCACAAATTATATTGGGCTGTCGTTAATAGAAATCAATATTTAAAAAAAATTAATTTGGGGGCTGAAGCTGAAAATGGATGATGCTGAAAATTTTTCATACTTTATAAAATTGTAAAATTTTTTAGGGCCTTTTTTGTGGTCTTTTTTTCATAGTTAGGTTAGGGTTAGGGAGTAGTATTTATTAATAAAAAGTATAAGTGAATTTTAGTAGGTTTTATAGATTTAAAAAGAGATACCAATTTTCAGCATAATCTATTTTTAGCTTTAGCTCTACGATTAATAATCTAAATTTTATAACTTATTTTAAAGCTATTTTGATAATTTAATAGTTCATTAATTTTTTTAAGGGTAGGGTGTATGTAGATTATTTTTCATATAATCTGCATGATATATTGAATTTTTATATAGTAAATAAAAAATGTCTTTAGTCAAATTTTTTAATATCTTAGTTAATTTTTATCAAATTTATATGATATATAGTTTAAACTAGTTTATTTATAATAATAAAGTTGTAGGATATACATTGTTTTAAAAAAAATGAACTTTGTATATAATAAAGTTTTTATCTATATATTTTTTTGGGGTTATACAAAAATTGCTAGTTCTAATTGGTCAAATTATATAATATTTATATGTAAATCATATGATATCATATGAAATACAATATAATTAATAGTAAAAATAATCTATATACATCTAGAGCTATTAAAAGTCTAATTTTATCCATTCAAACTTTTTAAATAAGGATTTTGATTAGGACTTGATTCTTGAGTTGATCTTTAAGTCAAGTTTGCAGTATTTTAATTATGTATAAATCAACATAAGTTAGCTAATCAAAATAAACAATTCTCAGTACAAACGATATATAGTTAGATTTTGTTTGATAACATAAATTAGCCAATTAAAATGAACAAATCTTAGAACAAAAGATATGTAGTTGGACTTTATCTGAAATCAATCTGAATCGATCCTAAAAAATCACTGTTTAGTCAATTCAAGGATTAGGTCTGACAAGCTTTTTCATGATCCTATATATACTTTACTCTTAAATATTAATTTCTAATCTATATATTTGTGCTAACTAGTATTCTGCAAAATAAATTCAAAGATTTGGGTTCGATCTGAATCTGCTAACAGATCTGGATTAGATCTATGATTTTTAAGATTCATCAAATTTGATTTATATAGAGATCTAATTTATTATATATAAAAGTATTAGATCTGAACTAAATTTGAAGATCTATCTATTTAAACATAGAATTGGATATATACTTAGATCTGATTTGAATTTTCAGATTGAATCCAGATCTTTAAAATTATTTATTAAATCTGATTCATGTGAAATACTAGTATTAACTATAAGAAAGTATTGTTTATTATATAATTTTTTAAAAAAAGGTTAGCAATTTATCATATCTGTATATTGAATATAAACTTTGATTTGTTTATTGATTTATTATCTAGAGGTAGTATTGGCAATGAACTAATATATCCTAAAAAAATTTCAATAAATATTGTTTATTTTTTTTTTTTGTAATTCGGCTGCCTGTTCTATTTTATTTAAGACTAAAAGTATTTAACAAAATCATTACAATCTTGTATTTTAACCTATATCATCTAACCAAAATATAGGCTCACCAATACTATAATCAAGTTATAGATACCAATATAGTCTACCTCAGTAGCAATTGGCCTTCTTCTGGGTCTCCA